ATTGACCGAAGTCAACCTAAATTCATTTAAAAGCAAAATTTACCATTTTTCACAAATTTTCACATAATGGCTTTCCGGATACACGCCCGGACTGCGCATGCAAATCGAGGTGAGACAAAAAGGAGGTTTAAGGCCTCGGATCACAGAATTTATTTCTAAAACAAGAAAAGGTCATCACAACAAAAGTTTGTTTTGGTTTCATGTGTACCTTTTTTTCTTTGTGCATTCTTATTTTCATAATTACGTTTTGCTTTTGTGCTTTCTTCATTGTTATCTTCTATTCGGGTTAAAGCCGAGGGCTGATAAATGTTGTTCGAACGGGTCGAACATAGTGTTGAGTTAGGTTAAGGCCGAGGACCGATAAGAGTTGTTCAATCTGGTCAAATTTAACATTCATTAAGTCGGGCTGAGGGCCGATAGGTGTTGTTTGAGCTGGTCGAACTTACCTTTCATTAAGTCATGGCCGAGGGCCGATAGGTGTTGTTCGAGTTGGCCAAACATACTATTTTTTTAAGTTATGACTAGGGGAGATAGGAGTTGTTCGAATTGGTCAAACTTACCTTTCATTAAGTCATGGCCGAGGGCCGATAGGAGTTGTTCGAGCTGGTCGAACGTACCTTTTCATTTAAGTCCTGGACGAGGGCCGATAGGTGTTGTTCGAGCTGGTCAAACGTACCTTTTTTTTTAAGTCATGGTTGAGGGCCAATAGGTGTTGTTCGAGTTGGTCGAACGTACCTTTTCATTTAAGTTGTGACCAAGGGCCGATAGGAGTTGTTCGAGCTGGTCGAACGTACCTTTTTAGGTGAGCAGTTTCAATGAACGTGTATCTTATTTACTTCAATATCATTGCTTTGACTACATCATTTCACCATGAGACAACTTTTGGAGAAATAAGTTTCAGGTGCCGGCTAGCGTCCCAGTCCCAGTATATCTAGTCCCTTCATTGTTCGACTTGGAAATTCTTGATGAGTCGGGCAATGAAAAGTATGTCTGCTCTCGCGTACTCCAACTCTAAGTGTCTCGCTCGTCGTCTTGTTAAAACCCTCCTCGAGAAAAATCTATTGGGACAAAACTCAAGTAAGGAATAAAAGATTACGACTTATAGGGCATTTCTTGTTTTTCAAAAGTTGAAGTATTTGAGGTGGTTGATATTCCAATCGTTTGGTAGGAGCTTCGCTCCCATAGTTTCCAATTGGAATGAACCCTTGTCTACTTTGCCTATGATTTTGTATGGTCCATCCTAGTTGTTTGCTAATTTTCCCTCTCGTGGATGTCTGCCTACTTGGGTCTTGACTTTGAGCATGTAGTCCCCGATCTTGAGTAATCGTACATTTTCCTTTCTGTTGTAGTAGCGTTCTACTTGCTACTTTTGTGCGACCATTCTTATGCATGCTATATCTCGTCGCTCTTCGACCTCGTCGAGTTCTTGTCTCCTATTCTCGTCAGTGTCGGTGCCGCTTTCATGGGAGTACCTTAGGCTGGGTTCTCCGACTTTGACTGGTATGACCGCTTCCGTCCCGTAAACCGGAGAGTAGGGTGTTTCTCATGTGCTCGTTTTTGGGGTGTTCTGTGTGCCCATAATACTTTTGGGAGTATTTTTGGCCACAGTCCCTTGGCCTTCTTGGGTTTCTTCTTCATGATGTTTAACATAGATTTATTGGAGAACTCTGCTTGTCCGTTACCAGCCGGGTGGTAAGGAGTTGAAAGTATCCTTTTGATGCGCCATTTTTTGAGGAACTCTGTAGTGTTTCTTCCCGTAAACCAGGGCACGTTGTCATAGCTTATCTCTTTAGGTAGGTCGAATCAGCAGATGATGTTTTTCCATATAATCCTGCTTCCACCCCTTAGAAAAATAGCCAGTTAAAACAAAAAGGAATTTTACACTACCTCGTCCTGGTGGAAGTGGTCCCACAATATCCATTCCCCATTTAATAAATGGCCATGGACAGGTGACAGAGTGGAGGCATTCGCCTACTTGGTGGATTATTGGGGCGTAATTTTGACACTACTCGCATTTCTTCATAAATTCTCGGGCGTCTTTCTTCGTGGAGGGCCAATAATATCCAGCCCGTATGAGGCACCTGACAAGTGCTTGGTCACTAGAGTGACTGCCGCGATGACCTTCATGGACTTCCTCAAGAACGCGTTGGGTTTGGTTCAGGCCTAAGCATTTTTCTAAGGGGTCGCCGTATGTTCTCTTATACAAGTCACTATGAAGGAGGTTGTACCTAGTGGCTTGCATTCTCAGCTTTTTGGCTTCCTTTTTGTCATTTGGGAGGGTGTCGTCCTGCAAATCGTCTATAATACAATTGTGCCTGTCCCAAGTTAAGTTTACAGATTTTACCTCGATTTGGTCTAACGCTGAACTGAGTAGATGAACTATGCTCTTATCCTCGGGAGTTATGCTTTTGGTGGCGGCGACCAATTTAGCTAGGCCATCTGCTTGGAATTTGGTCGACTTGGCATTCGTCTAAATTGGGCAGTGTTGGCCCAAGTAAAGGTTAGTTTTGAAGACTGACAAAGGAACTCGGGCATGAACCAGGTCCATCCCAGTGGTCCATCCCTCAGGTTCATAAAAACGGGCAGATTCGAGCATGTGGGTTGCACGTGAAGGAGATAAGCTTAACTTGGTGTATTTAATATCTCCTGATCGAAAAGGTTGCATAATTGATAAGGAGAAGGACTCCTTAATCAAAGAGAACACTATCCAAGATAGGGAAGGAGTTAGAAGTTGAAATCAACTAGAACTCTTCCACCAAGGAAGAGTTGCATCAGAACTCTAGTTATTTCTTCATCTACTAACTCTATAAATTGCAGGATGTTCTCACATTAAAGTGTTGCACAAAAACGCAAAAGTTAAACGTGAATTGAGAGCAAAATAGCAAGGCTTTTTGCAAGCAGTTCGTGTGTGATTAAGTGTGCAAACCTGAAGCTACATGAACCAGATTGAAGAACCAGCTCCATAAAGAGTTTTATATGTCTTTCTTTATTTCTAGTTCAGTTGTAGTAGGTGTTTCAAATTGTACCTTTCAGCTTTATCTAGAAGCAATTGTAATAGGTATTTTGAGTATTCAAGTTATAGTTAACTTGAAGTTATCGCAACAGTTAGAGGCTGGTAGCTACAACGGGATTAGAATTAATCCTTAGGTTTACAAAGAGTTTTGTAAATGCTGTTTTGGCTCAGTGATTTTAGTGAAAGTTCGGGAAAATCCTACTGAGTAGTAGGTCGTGGTTTTTTCACCTTTTGAGCCAGGTGTTTTCCACGTAAAAATCTCTGTGTTCTTTATTTTATGCACTCTTAATTCCGCAAACAGTAGTAGTAAGTACACCTAGAAGAACTAGGTTCTTCTAAAGCGAAATTGGGTACCACACAAATCACCCGCCCTCTTGTGTGGTATTGACGTTAAGAACATCAGGCAGTAATTTGCAGATCTTGGTCTGATACATTTGCAATATCTGCTATTTGATTTGGAAAGTCCAAGTAACTTGGTTGACGACGAGCTGAGAATCACAGCGTAGATTTAATCGCTTCGCCCCATATTCGAGTGCTAGTCTCAGTCCTGCAATTACATCCTCATACTCGGCCTCGTTGTAACCATATCTAGGCATCTGATAAATTGGCGAACTATTTTGCCGATGGGAACCTCGAGAACAACTCCTAATCCGGACCCACAAGCATTGGACGTGCCATCGCTATGTAGGACCTAAAGGTCCTGTGTTTGGAGAGAAGCTTGAGTGGCTTCTTTCTCAGCCGCAGGCATTACTTTTACACTAATGTCTGCGATGAAGTCGACGAGCAATTGTGACTTCATTGTTGTGTGAGGCTGATAAGTGATGTCTTGCTCACTTAATTCGATTGCCTACTTAGTTAGCCTCCCCGACAACTCAGGTTTGTGCAATATGTTTCTTAAAGGAAATGTGGTGACGGATGAGATCGGGTGGCACTGGAAGTATGGCCTAAGCTTTTGTGAAGCTACGACCAGAGCCTAGGCTAGTTTCTCGGGGTGAGAATACCTCATCTCGGCATCGAAAAATATTTTACTGATATAAAAAATTGAGATTGCATACCTTTGTCTTCTCGAACCAGGACTGCAATTACTGCTACTTCCGAAACGGTAAGGTAAACGAGGAGAGGCTCCCCGGGCTCTGGCTTTGAGAGTAAGGGTGGCGATGACAGGTATTTCTTAAGTTCTTTCAACGCTTATAAACATTCGGGCGTCCACTCGAGTCCGTTATCCTTTTTGAGTACGTTAAAAACCTGTGACACCTATCGAATGACCGCGAGATGAATCTGGATAGGGCGGCAATTCGACCATTCAGCCTCTAGACTTGCTTCTTAGTGATTAAATGTTCTGGTATCCCGTCAACGGCCTTAATTTGATCCAGTTTGAGCTTGATTCCTCGTTGTGATACCAAGAAATTCAAAAACTTTCCTGAGGCTACGCCATACGCCAATTTCTCGGGGTTTAGTTTCATTTCGTATTTTCTCAATATGTCGAATGCTTCCTTTATACTACAACATTTTAGGCCTTTAGCCACCCCTAAGAAGTGTGGCCTAAACCATCATATAGTGTGGCATTTGATCAAAGGCTACACTTTTCGACTTTAGGCAACGCTTTTAGGGGGTGGCCTAAAGTAGCGTAACCTTTTCTCTAAGGCCACGTTTTTCAAGTGTTGCTTTATAAGGGACGCTTAAAAAACGTGGCCTATAAGGTACAACAACCATGTTTCCAATACCTCATATGGCAACATTTTTCCTTTCCTAAAACTACTCTTTTTGAAGTGTGGTCTTTATTACCTTATAAGCCATACTTGTGAAGCATAGCCATTGTTCTTATACATGCCAAATAGGCCATCCACTTGTCAGCCCTATGGCAGCATTTCTAAAGCGTGACAATTTTTTATGATATTTATGAGCTACAATTTTTTTTAATGTAATCACGTTTATTTCAAGCAACTGTATTTTAGTGATCTCAAGCACTAAATTTGATAATAAATAATAGAAAAATAATTTGTTTGCATATAATAGCAATAAACTTCAAAAAAAAAAATATTTCGTATTCTGCACATACTGATAAACAATATTTCAGTTTGTGCACTAACTACGAACTCTATAAATTGATTGTATTCATATAGTATCATAATAATAAAAATTACAATTGATCAAAAATTCTTTATCATTCACTTCAATAGATCAATTAACTTTTGGCCGCTATCAATTGCACCATCCATATTTTCCTACACATTAAAAATGAAATTAAAAATTAGAAAGAAACCAATAGATAGTATGCAATATCATACTGGTTTGAGGTGGAAGCTGAAATTTAAAACAATTAATTTTAAAGAACAAACAAACATTCACATTAAAACTTCAAAAATTTCTATCGAACTTGAACTTTTTTGAGAAGGTACATGAAAAATTCAAGTTCTCACGGCATATAAGTGATGTTCTTTTTTGACGTTTTTCTTCTTACTATCAGAGCATTATAAAAATGGATAAGTAACTTAACATAATTTCTAAAGTACATATAAACAGATTGAAATGATCAAAACTTTACTGGAATGCTAGCACTTAATATCAAAATGATGGTGGTACAACTTCAACGATAACATTTTGAGGCAATCATTTTGACAGTATTCCTAGAGCTCCACCTGCACAGCTAGACTTCGCTAGTAGGCCTATCCCCCAATAGCACAAATGCAAGCTAATATACCTATTTTAGTTCTCTAATTTGATATAACTGGTGAAATAAAACTAACCTGAATCTGATATGTTTGAGTTCTTTTTCGCCATCTGGGAGTACCTTATAGTGATGAAAACTCTAGGTTGAAAGTTCATCTGCAATTGAAAGCTCACTATCTTTCATATGAAAAATATAATGAAGCTTCTTCACATTAAATATTTAGTGCAACATCTTAAAAAACAAAAATATTGAAGAATAAATGGCTACAAATTCTTAATCTGCTCTCTAACAGTTACAAGTAGGACTTATATATTTCAATTAGTTTTACTCAAGCCAAGGTACTAATAGAGCTCTAATAATATCAAATCTGTAAAGGCAAAATAAAACAACTCCATAAAACTCCAACCTCTAAGAAGTCAAGATTATCAAGAATGCTTCGGATATAAGTTAAGATCTTTGCACGCTCTTAAATATTTGCAGAACATGTAAGTTCAACATCAAATTCAAATAATTTTGTCTATGTTGTGAACTCACAGAAAAAATGAACCACACTAACACATCGAATGCATAATTTTTTATAAAAAGAAATAGAATGAAAGAAAATCAATTGAAAAAAAAAACTTCTGAAAAAATAAAAGAAAGAAGAGGTATAAAGTACCTGTGCTTTTAACACATGTATCTGGATTCTGGCCACTACCCGGACCCATGCTTCATTTTTTTGAGCACAATTAGATAAAGTTCAATAACTGGTCTTAGACACAATGCAAAACGAAATTCGTAGCCTTAGTCGTATCCGTCTGGGAACCTTTTGCCTTGGCTTCATATGAAGTCAATGAGATAACATTACAAATGATTTTGCAAAAATACACAGATCTTCTTTTTTACTCAATTCTAATAAATGAGTTGGAAATATTTTGAGAATGTGTTATTACCAAACGAATACATCAGTAATGTCATCTACAGTAGCCTGAGATCTAAGCATAAACAACACCATGTGAAGATAAATACACCTTACAATTGCATTGCAGACAGTAATATTCAAAGTGAGAAACTATGGCAAAACACAAAGTGCATAAACATAAGAAAATATTTTATATTCAGAATGAATACCTATACGCTATGCATTTATAGTTCTTTGACAGTCCTTTGAGTTCTTAAAAGAAAGAATTGTCTACAACTATGTTATTGCAAGTATTTTTTGGCCTATGTCCGAAGTAAAGAGAGGCGTGAGAGTACAACAATTTAGGTCGCAGCCACAATTGCTATGTTTTCCAAGTTTCAGAAGTTGCAAGATAAGTTGAGAGGTTTATGCAAGAAAGAAACAAACCTCACCTTGCCCTATCCTCCTCCCCAAATAACCCACAAAACTCAAGCCTACCACCAAGCCCACGCACACAACAGCAATCCTATCAAATTGTTATAAAAAATTGTCTAAACTCCAAGGAACAACTATGAATGGAGGCTCGCAAGAATTACATGTACCTAACAATCGGGAACAAATTTTAAAAGGTCCTAATTTGAAAACCTTCAAATTTCACACCAATTCTCGAAAACCTCCTTCAAATTCAATTATTACCCCCCACAACTCAAAACTCCAAAATTCCAGATCTAAATATCGGAATATAAAGAGACTACTTCGACACTCGAGAGATATAAGATGAACACGAAATGAATACATTAAAATAATTATTGAAAATACAGATCTGAGAACAGATTCAAGATTGAAAAAAAAAAACAAGCAAAGATTTAGGGATATGATCTTTGTGAGATTAAGGATCTAAAACAGGAAAGGAGTAAGGAGATACGAAGTATCATAATCAAAATCGAAGACTAATGTTTCTTACGGTAAAAGAGGTCCAGCTGTTCAAGGAAAAGCCTCTGCAAATCTGACACAAACTCCACCGAATACGTCGAAGTATACCATAGTCGCAGCAATAGCCAACGCTGGCGACAACATATCGTCGTGGTAGTCTACATCGGAGTCATCGTCAGAATACATGCCACTATCGTGTCTGAGAGAAAAGGGGGTAGTGGCATTTGTGAGAGGTTAGAGAGCGAGTAGTGAGCCTTTTCTAAAGGTATAACTTTTAGTGGGAAAGTTGTGAAAATTTAGTGGACAAATTTTAGTGGAAAAATTGTAAAAATTTTAGTTGAAAATTTTGGTGTAAATGTTTTGAGTACCCTTACAATGTGTTGCTTTAGAGTTAATAAAAGAGCACCATTCAAAAGTGTTCCATTACATATGCATAAGTGTTGCCAAATATCTTACAATATGGCAACAGTTAAAAAGCGTAGTATTTATATTTAAAAAGAACGCTTTACAAGCGTTGTCAAAATTTCGTAGCCAAAAGCTCTCAGCAATGACCACCCCTTAGAAAGTTGCCATAAGCATTTTTGGCAACACTTTTCAAGCGTTGTATAAAATTAACGTAGCCTTAGGCCAAATTTATTGTAGTGTTAAATGGTCAACATTGTCACGACCCTAAACCCGGACCCGATCGTGATGGCGCCTCTCGTGAAGACAAGGCCAGCCGACAACTTCCAATTCACTTTAAGCAATTTAAAATAATAAGTACGAAGTCTTTAGCAGAAATAAAATCCCAAAATATTAGTGAAAAGTATAATTTTGCGGAATTAAAAACCAACACAGCCCGACATCGGGGTGTCACCAGTCATGAGCATCTAAAACCATACTACAAGTCTGAAAGTCTACTCCACTACTACATAACGGAATCAGAAAGGAAATAAGCTAGAGGGATATTGCACTGGGCTGCGAATCGCCGGACAGCTACCTAGTAAATCTCCGGAAATCTGCTGGACAGCTCTCAACTCTCGCTAGCAGGACCTGTAGCGCCCGAATCTGCACACAGGGTGCAGGGAGTAAAGTGAGTACTCCAACTCAGTGAGTAATAACAATAAATGAAGTCTGAGCGATATAAAATCACGTTAAACACAACATTAAGCTATAAGAGGCAGAACAAAATCAGTAAACATAATTAAATAGTGAAATCTGACAAAACACCTTTTAAGCAGTCAACAATATATGGAAACAACGACTAGAAATGATAAACACATAAGAACTGCCCCTCGGGCAAGGTAACAACAGAATCGGTCCCTCGGGCAATATCACATAACAATACCAGCCCCTCGGGCTATATCTCATATCTCAATGGGTACCCGCGCTCACTGGGGGTGTACAGACTCCGGGAGGGGCCCCTTACGGCCCAAGCGCAATATCAAGTCATCTCGTGGCATCATAAATAAGCTCTCGACCTCATATCAATCTCAAGCCTCCTCGTGGCATACAATCACAGGCCCTCGGTCTCATTATCATAATCAGTATATCTCTGTTACGGCGTGCAGCCCGACCCAAAAGTATCCTCACAATACAGGCCCTCGACCTTACTCAGTCAGAATCTCATAAGCCCCTCGGGCAACAGTAAAATATGAAGCTCAGCTCAAAAATATCTTTAAAAATATCATTTAAGATGTTTAAAAACGAAATAACATAGCTGAGTTTGAAACAGTAAAATATGGCATGACTGAGCACAAGTATGAAGTCAAATAGTGAGGAAAATATCAGTAAAAATCCCCTAAGGGTTCAAACAGTTGGCACGAAGCCCAAATATGGCGTTTAGCCCAAAACATAATAATATCAAACAATTAGCTATCAAATACGCAGTAAAACAGTCATTCGGGATGGACTAAGTCACAATTCCCAACGGTGCACGACCCCACGCTCGTCACCTAGCGTGTGCGTCACCTCAACATAGCCGAACGCTGTGTAATCCAGGGTTTCATACCCTCAGGACAGCATTTAAAATCATAACTCACCTCAATCAGGGCCAAACTCTAGCTCGCAATGCCTTTGCCCCTCGAATTGGCCTCCGGATGCTCCGAATCTACCAAAATCAGAACGTAATCATCAAAATATGCTAAAGGGACAAAGCCCACTCGAAAATAATCGAAAAACAATGCGAACCCCGAAATTACCAAAACCCGACCCCCGGGCCCACGTCTCGAAATTTAATAATTTTTACATCATTAGATTCCTTATCTCCCCACGAGTTCATACATATCAAAAGTTCCAAAATCCAACCACAAATGGTCCTCCAAATCCTCAAGTTTAGGTCTCCAATACCAAGCCCTAGTTTCCTCAGCTTTTACCCTTAATTTCCACTAATTTCATGATTAATCCAAGGAAAAATGATCACGAACTCAAGGAATGAAGCTTAGAGAACTTACCCAACTGATTCACCTTGATTTTCCCTTGAATTCTCTGCCCTAGCTCGTTTCCCGTCTTCAAAAATGGAGTTTTTAGCCAAAATCCGTGAAGGGAAATATTATATACTTCTGGTCCAGGAATTTCGCATCTGCGGCCCTATTACCGCTTCTGCGGTACCGCATATGCGATCCAAGAACCGCTTCTGCGGTCCTCACTTATCCTCCGGCCTTCCGCATCTGCGATGCACCAGCCGCACCTGCGCCATCGCAGGTGCGGTTCACCAACCGCTTCTGCGGTTTCTACCTCCCTCACCTTCTTCCGCTTCTGCGGCCTTCTCCCTCGCAGAAGCAGAAAATCTGCAGCTTCTTCAAAAAATTCCAAACTCTCCGTCAACCATTCGAAATCACCCCGAGGCCCCGGGACCTCAACCAAAAACACAAACATATCCCGTAACCTTATTCAAACATGTACAAATCTTCAAAACACCTCAAACAACATCAAAACCACCAAAACACATCAAATTCAAGCCTACGGTTCTAAAATCTTCCGCATTCCTCTTTTGATCAAAAGTGTACCAAACCACGTCCGAATGACCTAAAATTTTGCGCACACACCCCAAATGACATAACAAAGCTACTGCAACTTCCAGAATTCCATTCCGACCCCTATATCAAAATCTCACCTATCAACCGGAAAACGCTAAAAACTCAATTTCGCCAATTCAAGCCTAAATCTACTCCGGACCTCCAAAACACATTCCGATCACGCTCCTAAGTCCTAAATCACCTAACGGAGCTAACCAAATCATAAAAATAATTTCAATCCGAGATCATTTACAAACAAGTCAAAACTTGGTCAAACCTTTCAAATTTCAAGCTTCAAACTGAGAACTGTTCTTCCAAATTCATTCTGATTACCCTGAAACCAAAACCAACGATTTTCATAAGTCATAATGCATAATACGGGGCTAGACATGCCCGAGAACTGGCGAGCGAAGTGCAAAAGCTCAAAATGACCGGTCGGGTCGTTACAAACATGATTCTCGACCCTCACGGATTTGACCAACATGTCGTCGATGTATACCTCCATAGTTTTGTCGAGATGAGTTTTGAACATTTTCGTGACCAACCTTTGATAAGTAGACCCTGCATTCTTCAACCCAAATGGCATGACCCTATAACAATACTTTTCGTTGTGAGTGATGAATGTAGTCTTCTCTTGGTCATCTAGCTCCATGATCATTTGGTTGTAGCCGTAGGCATCCAGAAAACTCAGTAGCTCATGTCCTGCTATTGCGTCGACGAGTTGGTCGATGTGTGGCAGCGAGAATGAATCCTTTGGGCGTGCTTTGCGCTTTGTTCAGCTCGGTGAAGTCCACACACATCCTCTGTTTCCCATTCTTCCTTTTGACCATTACCACATTGGCAATCCATTTAGTGTACTTTGACTCCCTAATATAGTCGTTGCCCAATAACTTTTCTACTTTTTTGCGGATGGCCTCGTTAATTGTGGGGTTGAACTTTCGTCGGACCTGGCTTTCTAAGGGGTAGTAGGGGTCGATGTTCTGCCTGTGCATGGCTATCTCCTTGGGGATGTCGGACATATCTGCATAGCTAAAGGCAAATAAATTTGCATTAGCTATTAAGAATTTACTAGATTTACTTGGGTCCTGGAGTTTGCAGTCGATGTAGGTTTTTTTGCTGGGGTTGCTGTGATCTAGCTGGACGGGATCGAGGTCCTCTATGGTCGATCCTACAGCTTTGACCATTTCTGGGTCCACAATGGTATCTTTGGCTTCGAGCGGTGGTGACCTCGACCCTGCTAATTGCTATGCTTTTGTTTCAGTTTCTTTCTTTTGTTGAGTTCGTCCTGTCCATGGCAATCCGATAGCACTCCGAGGTGTGCGTTGTTTCCCCTTATGTTGAATATTCCCAGGGGGTTGGGAATTTGATCACCTGGTACAAGCTAGAGGGGACGACTCTCATGGGGTGTATCCATGATAGTCATATGATGGTGTTATATGCGGTGTCCTGGTTCATTATATGGAATATTGTTTCCAGAGTCACCCACCGACAAGGACGAGGAGTGTGATCTCTCTCGAAGTCCGTTCAACTGCATTGTTAAAATCGGTTAGTACAATGTAGCACGGCACTATCTTATCCTCAAGTCTCATATGTGCGAGGACGCGAGGATGGATGATGCACGCTTTGCTTCTGTCGTCTACCATAATTCTCCTAACATCAGTATCTAAAATTCGTAAGGTAATGACAAGTGCATCATTGTGAGGGAAAGTCAAACTGTCGGCATCTAACTTATCAAAGATGATACTTTCTTCTAGTCCATCATACCATTCGTGGGTGATTGATCTTTTGAGTTTGTGAGTGGCGGTGAATTTGATGCCATTGATGGATGCATCATCACTGCCATCGATAATCATGTTGATGGTGTGAACTGGTGACGATGACTTTGGTAGGCCTAAGCGTTCTCAACCCCTTACTAAAATATTCCTACCTTTGTCACTGAGTAATTCTTTGAGATTTCCTTGCTGCAGCAAGTTTGACACTTCTAGTCTCAGAGCGTGGCAATCTTTCATTTTATGTCCACGTTCTTGGTGTAACGTGCAGAGGGCGTCAGAATTCCTGGTTCTCGGTTCGGACCTCATCTTTGGTGGCCAGTTCAACTTCGTCCCAAGCTTCTCTAGGGCGTAGACTACCTCTATTGGTAACACATAAAAGCTATGAGTAGATAGTAAGGGAGCATACCTCGATCATTCATGTGATTGCCTGATCTCGGCCTAGATGGGCCATCTTTATAATGAAAGGAGGGGATGGGTGCCCTGACATAGGGTTGATGTCGTTCCCTGCCTGGCCGTGATACCGGATGGTCTCTCCTTATGTTGTTGTGAGCACCTAATTTTTGACCATATTTGGTTTTTCCACTCACTTTTTAGTATTTAAATGGATTTTAAGTATAATTTTAATATTTTAGTTTTATTTCACCTTTTTATAGATTTATTTTAGATAAATTGAAAATTACAAAAGAGTTACATATTGTAGAGTATTAGTTTATTTTATTTACAAAGAAGAAAGTTTAAAAAAAGGATATAATTTATTAGCTTAGTTTAATTTAAGTGAGAAGTTTTGAGAAATAAATATTGAGTGTAGTAATTTTACCTTGCTTTTATTTACTTATTTAGTAGGAGTAGATTTTTTTAGTAATTATCAAGAAAAGAAAAAAAGAGTCAATGGAAAATTGTCACATGGCAAAAGATTCTCTCGTATCATCTGATAACTAATTCATATGCACTTTCCTAGCAATTTCCTACAAATAACACTTACCCTAGACAATCACACTCCCAATCCTTATCTCTTCCACCAATAAATTCCCTAAGCTATATTATAAATTGAAAGAACGAGAGAGGGAGGGTGAGCCGTGAGGGAGCGAGAAAGAAAACAAATCTGGAGAGAGAGGAAAGGGGGCAAAAAATCAGAAAGAATAAAAAAACCCATTACCTCCTTCTTCCCCAAGCTAAAAACGCACAAAACCTCCATTAACATCTACCTCCAATTTCAGCCACACACACACATAAACCACCAGCAAACCTCCATTAACACCACCACATGAAGCTCGAAACTAGCTGAAAAACCAGCCACGAAATCAGTCAAAACCAGCTTTCAAACCTCCATAAACACAGCTGTAAAACACCATGTAAATCAGCCACGTAACAACCTTAAAACTAGCTGCAAATAGCCATGAAATCCCTTCAAAATCGCTATGAAACACACCCCAATAATGCTTCGAAAACCAACAACAAAACACCTTGAAATCAGTCAAAAATAGCTCCAAAATCATGTTGGTATAGCTGGTACAGGGGCCAAATATATTGATGAGGATAAAGGAAAATATGAAATAACTACTTGTTCTCCTCCAGATTGATTCGAACAAGTTGGAGCAGCTTTGGTCACTCTTTGTTTGTCTGTACATTGATGAAGAGGAAGGCTTAAGTTCATCAGAGACCATCGAATAGGCTTCAGCTTTTTGGGCCTTCCTCTATTTGGGCCACACGCTGTGGGCTGCTGCTGCTGCTGATATACACCACAAGAGTCCTCAAAGCCTACACTCCTAGAAGCATGTAAATACATCAGATATACATCAGATATACAGTCCTTATACAACATGTAATTAAAGGTTATCTAAATGTAGTTATCCTAGAGTTTGTTATAGACTAGACTCCTTTACTCTTGTATAAATATGAACATGTACAGAACTTCAGAATAATAAGAAATATACAGAAAGTATTCTTCAATTCTCTCATGGTATCAGAGCCAGGCCCATCCCAGTTATTGTTACCGATGTTGGGCCCCCATTTATGTTGTCCATGCTCCAGAGGCCTGGGCGTGAGGGGGGTGTTGAGTTGTCCCACATCGGTGGGAGTTGAGGTCCTTGGTCTCCTTATATGGCTTGGGCAATCCTCACCTCACAAGCTAGCTTTTGGGGTTGAGTTAGGCCCAATGTCCATTCTTATCATGGTATCAGAGCAGGTTTGAACTACTCATTTATTTCCCTCATTCTCAAATCAGCTTCATTTTTTTTAATTAATCATCAGTTTTCCAATGGGTACTCCCATAGATTCTGTTAATTCATCTTCTTCGTCTACCACTGTTGCACCCGGAGTTTCTCCTACAACGGGTGTGGTGGACTCTTCACATCCTTACTACATTCATCCTTCAGACTATCCAGGGATGAATTTAGTTACTTCAGTTTTTGATGGAAAAAGCTATGGAGGATGGAGAAGGGCAGTAGTCATTGCTTTGTCTGCCAAGAACAAGTTGGGATTCATTGATGGAACCCTGACTGTTCCACCTGCTGATTCTAGACTCCAAAGAATCTGGGCTAGGTGTAATGATATGGTCCTCTCATGGCTGTTGAATTCTTTATCTAAAGACATAGCTGAAAGTGTCCTATACTCACAAAGTGCCAAGGATCTCTGGAGTGACCTAGAAGATAGGTTTGGGCAAACAAATGGAGCAAAGTTATTTCAACTACAAAAGGAACTCAGTGCAGTTGTTCAAGGAAATACCAGTATCTCTACCTATTTTACTAAAATTAAGAGCCTATGGGATGAACTTGATGCATTAAACACTTTCTCGGCTTGTATCTGTGATTGTGAGTGTGGAGCCAAAACTAAGAGTGTAAAGGCACATCAAGATGAAAGGTTATTGCAATTTTTGATGGGGCTTAATGACACATTCGTAGGGGTCAGAAGCAACATCCTTCTATCTTCTCCTCTGCCTTTCATTGGTCAAGCATATTCTCTTGTTATCCAAGATGAGAAACAGAGAGAGATTCATACTGCTCCTGTCTATCCAGGAGATTCAACATCCTTCCTTACCCCCACTCATTCAGGAAATTTCAGAAAATACAATGAAGACAGAGGACAAAAGGGAAGATATGATCAGAAGAAGAACTCCGAAATGTGTGGCTATTGTAAGAAACCAGGACATAGCATTGATAAATGTTATAGGTTACATGGCTTCCCAGCAAATTTTAAGTTTACCAAATAGAGGAAGTTTCAAGGAACTGTGCAAGATAATAATGCATTTACTGGCAATAATGAAATGGAGTACACATGTGCTAATGCAACAGAAAATCATATTCGTAACCAGAATAATGTGGCTTAACTTCTGCAACTCCTCCAACAAATGAAGGCAGGACAGCAGGGAACAGGCAGTTCTGATGCAAATGCAAATCTCAGTTGTGCAGGTATAGCCAAGTTCTTCAACTCTTATGCCTGTCTCATTCAAATTAATTGTGAGTCTTGGATATTGGATAGTGGTGCAACTGAGCATATGACATTTAAACAAAGATTTTTTCACAAACTTTAAAGCCTTACCTAAACCATTGATGGTTAAACTTCCCAATTCTTATAGAGTTAAGGTAACTCATTCAGGATCAGTGACACTCATGTCTAATTTAATTCTGCACAATGTGTTGTATGTACCATCTTTCAGATTTAATCTATTATCTGTACACAAGTTGTGCAGACAACTCAATAAGTATGTTCTTTTCACTCCTTCTTCTTGTTTCCTATTACAGGGCCCTTCACTGAAGAGCCCTATGGAGATTGGTAAAGAAAAAGAAGGCCTCTACATCCTCAATTCAAGATCCTCTATAGCAGCTTCAAAGGATTTACCTAAGTCTAGTAATGATGTTAGTAGGAAATCTATTTCTATTTTAGACTCTTGTAGTAGGAAATCTATGTCTTGTTTCAGTCTTTCTATTTCTAATGTAAAGGATAAGTTATGGCATTATAGATTAGGCCATATGCCTTTAAGTAATATGAAAAACATATCCTCTGTTTCTGTTCCTTCATGTCTCAATTTTTCAACTCCTTGTATCATATGTCCAATGGCTAGGCAATGTAAACTTCCTTTTCCCTCAAGTTCTATCTCTACTACAAAGGTGTTTGGAGTCCATATAATACTCCAACATACGATGGATATAGATACTTTCTTACCATTGTGGATGATTTTAGTAGAGGTACTTGGACTTACCTATTGACCAATAAATCTAATGCCTTCACAGTTTTGAAATCCTACCTAGCTATGGTAGAGAGACAATTTCACACAAAAGTCAAAACAATAAGGTCAGACAACGCTTTTGAATTAGGAAGTGGGAATGTACAGTCAGAATTTTTTCAATCTCAAGGTATCCTTCATCAAACAACTTGTGTTTCTACTCCACAACAAAATGGTGTAGTTGAAAGGAAACACAAGCATTTGTTAGAAACTTCAAGAGCCCTGTTGTTTAAGTCACACTTACCTATATCATATTGGGGAGATTGTCTTTTAACAGCCACATATTTAATCAACAGATTCCCTTCAAAGGTATTAAACCTAAAAACACCTTATGAAATACTATTTAGCACCAAGCCTAACTATTCTAATTTGAGGTGCTTTGGTTGTCTATGCTTTGCCTCCACCATTTCAAACCACAGAACCAAATTTGAGCCTAGGGCATTGCCTTGTGTGTTCTTAGGTTATCCCCATGGAAAGAAAGGTTATAAATTACTTAATCTTCAAAGTTTGAAGACCTTTGTTTCTAGAGATGTCATTTTCCATGAAGAATTCTTTCCTTATGCTTCTTTGAAATCTGATTGTCATGATGAACTACCCCTGCCTGTTGCTTCTTCTCCTACTCCAGGTAGCCATATACCTGACTTCCCTATCTCAGTATCCCCTTCAGTTACCCAAAACAATCCTCCTAATCCTTCTATCACTACTGTTCCTTCACCTAGTAGAATGCCTTTTCAAGGTTCAGTTTCATCTCCATATCCTTCTCCTATTTCTAGTTCACATTCCAATCCCTCTATTCCCCTATTTTCATCCCCAGGATCTGAGCCTATGATGGACACCCTTATCGGGAGATCTTCTAGACCTCATATTGCACCAACCTACCTCAAAGACTATATTTGTAACGCCATCCAACTCACAGATGTAAGTAGCTCTTGTTTTCTAGCCCCGGTCACACCCGAGTCTCTCTCTTTTAATGCATTATCTTATTCTAATCAACATATGCTCAACACCTTGTCAAATATCCAAGAACCTATTAATTATACACTGGCAGCACATCACCCTGGCTGGCAGGCTGCCATGGACAAGGAAATTGAAGCACTTGAGCTAAATAAAACATGGGATGTGGTAACATTACCAGCAGGAAGGAAGGCTTTACTATGCAAATGGGTTTACAAAGTTAAACAATTATCTGATGGTAGTATAGAAAGACTGAAAGCAAGGTTGGTGATCAGAGGTGATATTTAGAAAGAAGGAATAGATTACAATGAAACCTTTTCCCCCGTAGTCAAAATGACCACCATTCGATGCATTCTAGCTACAACAGTAAAGAAAGGATGGGGACTCTACCAATTAGATGTCAATAATGCCTTTTTACATGGCGAGCTAAATGAGGAAGTGTACATGAAGTTTCCACCTAGTATTTTGCCTCCCTCTCCTAATCATGTCTGTGAATTAAGGAAATCTCTCTATGGACTTCGTCAGGCTTCGAGACAATGGTATGCAAGACTCACCAGTGCTCTTAATTTCAAAGGGTTCACTCATTCTCTAAACGATTATTCCTTATTTTTCAAAAAGACAGAATCTTCTATATCTATTGTGGCAGTATATGTGGACGACATCTTACTAAAAGGAAACAACAAAGAAGAGTTACATGCTTTAAAAGCTTTCCTCAACCAGGAATTTAAAATTAAGGATCTTGGCAACTTACATTTCTTCCTCGGCATGGAAGTAGTTCGTGAACCACAAGGTCTGATTCTTTCTCAGAGGAAATTCACCTTGGATCTTCTTCAGGAATTTGATGTTTTTAGTTCTTCACCTGTCTCCTCTCCTCTGGGCCCAACTGCCCAGTTGCTCGCTGATTCTGGAGAGCCTTTACCTGATCCTACTATATATCGTCATCTCCTTGGCAAGTTGAATTATCTCACACACACTCGACCCGATTTGTCTTTCACCGTCCATCATCTCAGTCAATATATGCAGGACCCGAGGAAACCACATCTTGCTGCAGGACTTCGAGTCCTTTGTTATCTCTTAAAGGACCCAGGTCTTGGACTTTTCATGTCTTCTTCTTCTTCATTTCAGCTCCTAGCTTTCTGCGATTCTGATTGGGGGACTTGTCCAGACTCGAGAAAATCAGTCAGTGGGTTTTACATCTCTCTTGGTTCTTCTCCCATCTCTTGGAAATAAAAAAAATAGACCTCCATCTCTCTTAGCTCTGCCAAAGCAGAGTATCGCTCTATGCGGCGCGTAGTCGCTGAACTTACTTGGTTAGTCTGTCTATTCGATGATCTCTTTGTACCCATCTCGTTACCAGTACCTCTTCATTCCGATAGCCAAGCTGCGATTCACATCGCAAAGAACCCGGTCTTCCATGAACGAACCAAGCATGTCGAAATTGACTGTCATTTTGTCCGACAACAATTCCTTGCAGGTTTGATTTCATTATCCTTTGTTCGATCTTCTTCTAAGCTTGCCGATCTCTTTACCAAATCACTCCCAGGTCCTACTCATCGTGATTTATTGTGCAAGTTGGGGGTACTTTTATCCCCCTCCAATTTGGGGGGGGGAGGTGTTGGTATAGCTGGTACAGGGGCCAAATATATTGATGAGGATAAAGGAAAATATGAAACAACTACTTGTTCTCCTCTAGATTGATTCGAACAAGTTGGAGCAGCTTTGGTCACTCTTTGTTTGTCTGTACATTGATGAAGAGGAAGGCTTAAGTTCATCAGAGACCATCGAATAGGCTTCAGCTTTTTGGGCCTTCCTCTATTTGGGCCACACGCTGTGGGCTGCTGATATACACCACAAGAGTCCTCAAAGCCTACACTCCTAGAAGCATGTAAATACATCAGATATACATCAGATATACAGTCCTTATACAATATGTAATTAAAGGTTATCTAAATGTAGTTATCCTAGAGTTTGTTATAGACTAGACTCCTTTACTCTTGTATAAATATGAACATGTACAGAACTTCAGAATAATAAGAAATACAAAAAGTATTCTTCAATTCTCTCAAATCACTGGAAAAACGCAGCTGAGACACATTGTTTCTTCACCTCAAAAACTAATTTTTTCCATAACCCTTCAACCCCCATAAACTTCAGCTAAATACTAGTCTAAAATCTGGACAAAAAAACAGTCAAAACTCAGCGAAATACAGCCATAAAACCTGACAAAAAAAGCACCAGCTCACCCGTAAAGCGTTCGAGGTTCCGACGCCGCTGCGTTTTCATTCGATTTCTGGCGGGATTTTCTCTGTTGGAGTCCATTCGGCTTTGATTTCAGCTGTTTTAGTTTCACTGAAATGCTTGCTAATAAAATTTGCTTGAAGAAGTTTGGCTTCTGAAAAGGTTCGGTACTAAACTCCTTGTTCATCGTTCAATCTCTGGATTTTATTTTGGTAGCATTTGATTGTAATATCTATTAAGCTTGGTGTTTGTTATTTACTCTTAAACGAGAGTGTCTTTTCTTGGTTTAAAATAGTTATGAACTCGTTATTGGTGATCTTGTGCAATGTTGGTGCTTTGTGCAATTCTTAGCTATGTGTTCACTGGCTCGACTATTTGATGTTGTACAGATTTGTGAAGTATTGTGATTTTTACTGTTGAATCCCATTAATTGAATAGGATGGAACAAGTTTTGGGATTACAAGCAAAATGGTTTGAGCTAATAAGGAGTGGGCGCACTGCATTTGAGGAAACAATTTAATAATATTAATTCCTTAAGTTTGCAAAATGTTTGACTTTCTTTGTTGAACCAGACGCATAACAATTTAGTTTTGTATAGAGTTTATTTTGTTTCTAGTTATTCTTTGCATGTCTTTGGAACTGTTATTTTAATCACTGGTTGTCCCATTTACTCATTCTGTGTGATTAATTCATGAGTTAAATTGATATTTGTTAACAAGTGGGATGCGTAGTGGTTGGAATTAATCGGATGCAAAGAAAGTGTATTTGAGTTGTAGTTTCTTTTAAATATTTATTAGCCTATTAGCCCAATAACAAGATCATAACATTTTTCCACAATAGTTTCCTATCCGTAATTCATGTCCTTCACAGACAATGATCTTAAACTTAGGAAAGTAATTAAAAACTAAACATTCGTAGAGATGCTTTAGGTGTGTTCTAAATCTGTTATCATGATTATGTATACGTTCGCTTGACATAACTGTGATTTCTAGAAAAATGAATATTCGTGGAATGATTTTAGGCACCCTCCTAATCAACTATCATGATTGCGTACATGTTCGCATGACGTGATTGCGATTTTTTCAAATAAATTCAAAGTACGCGTTAGCGACGTTGACCAAACTTTTTTCTTAAATAAACTAAGTGTTATGAGTTGTGTACACGTACTGTGACGTGATTCTTGACGCACCAAACTAAAAAGAGTATAGGTACGTGTAACTCGTCTTAAGATAATTCCTTAAATACGAGTTATCAAGTGATTAGTAGCGGTAAAAGGTAAAAATAAAAATAGGTCCTAAATGAGTAATTAGATAAAATAAGCCAAGTATAAATTGCTAAGCGACCTTGCTAAAATCACGGAATCTCGGAATGCCCACCTTCTCCCAGGTTAACAGAATTCCTTACCCGGTCTTCTAGTTTCGCAAACTTTAAACAGAGTCAAACTTCCTCGATTTGGGATTTAAAATAAACCCGGTGACTTGGGACACCATAAATTATTCCAAGTGGGGACTCTGAATTTAATAAATAATCTCATTTCAATTAATGTCACTTTAATTGGAAAAACTCCTTCTATCTCCCTCGGAAAAAAAGGAGGTGTGATAGTTGTCCTTGCGTTCCTTCCTAGGATCAGATTGTATCGAGGTGAGTCGTCGAGCTGGCCGGTTGAGATCGTCGTCGTCTGCCCCGACCTCTACACAGTAGGCATTGTGAATTCATATCAAATGTTTAGTGGATACCTCATTAACCAACTCAGTAGCTTTCTGGTCGCCCTCGAACCCTCTTTGTTCAAACCATTCTGAAAGGATGCCACAGACAACCCTTTATAGATGTTTGGTAAGGTCATCCTCACCCTTTTAAATAGGGCGAGGAAGTCCCTCAATCCCTCTCCCGGGGATTGCTTGATGGCGAAGATGCCGTTCACCCTTGTTTCAGCTTTCTTGTCTCCAGCATGTGCTGCTACGAACTTATCGGCCATCTCTTCGAATATTTCTATGAAATAAGTTGTCAGTTATGAATACCACGTCAATGCCCCTCAAGTGAGAGTTCACCAAAAATTTTCGGCGGGATGGAGGACACCTGCTCTTTGGTGAGGTTGTTGCCTTTCACGGAGGTGACGTTGTGAGTTACATGATCTTCAGGGTCGGTGATTTCGTTGTAGATTCTGAGATATGAGGGCGTCCTGAAGGTCTTTGGTATGGCATGTGGAGCCGCTTCTTCCTTGTATGGCTGTTCCACAAACCAACCAGCGTCTCTTTTTGGTAATAATTTGGGAGCACCTGGTATTTTATCTACTAGTTCCTGGTGCTCTTTCATCTGTCTCTTGAGTGCCTTGTTCTCGTTTTCCATTTCTTCCATTCTTTTCAGCATGACAGCAAGGACACAGTCACCTGCACTATCAATAATCGCACGAGTGTTACCTATAAAAGAAGGGTTCGGTTGGTCGTCATATTCATCCCCGCGATGTGCCTAATGAGCCCTCGTGTTTTCTGTGGTTGTGCATGGGGCTTGTTTGCTAATCATGCTGACCAGAGTGTCAGTCAACCATATTTCCAGGAGCTTTTTCATAGCAGGTGGCGTCCCCTCTCCCGTGGACGTAGATGCCCCCTTCCCATTTGGTTTGGTTGTGCTGCAGAAAGGTGTAGATGACTTCCCTCATTTAGGGGAGGCCGTGGGAACCACCTCCTTATCTTGGGTGTCATACCTTTCGTCGATGGCACTCATGAGGTTGATCGGGACGTTCTCCATTGCCTTCGTTCCACTTACTTGGTTACATACTATGGAGATTTTTCTTGTATACACAGAGAGAACATATAATCTTTGTGGTTTGTTAGATCAGTAACACACGTGAGTATAGATCCAACTAAAACTAAAAACTTGAGTGAGAAATCACCACAAGCGGTGCCAAATGACCCAAAATTTTGATCTAGGTTTATACAATTAGATTTATAGTGAAAAAGGATTAATCTAAGTCAATGTTAATATTAAAATAATAGACCAAGTGTATTTATGAAAAATATCCCACATGTGTCGTTGGATAGCAATAAATAATAACAATAATGGAGTAATGAATGACTCGAGAATATGAAACAGAGCAATAATAACAATAAATGGCATTTAAGTAAATAAATGAATAGAGGTCACTCAACAAAAGTTGAGATTTCCCAATAATTCCTCTGACAATAATGGATAATGATAAGCTTTTGAATATTCGGATCCCTCTTTAATCGGGGAAGAAAAGATAGATAAAGATGTGAAAAGAAAAACTTTTTATGTACATGATAAAGAGAGAATCTTCAGAGAATGTCAATATGTTGTTCTTTACGAATCAGTGTCTCGTTTCCTCTATAACTACCTATCTTTCTATTTATAAGGATACGTGGGCCACAAAATCCTAGGTAGTACAACTGGGGGAATATTTATTGAAATATTCTCTAGGGAATACTAATCTTGGAACTAGTCGTTACTACTCGCCGAGTAGGAGTGCTCGTCCTTGTCCTCGTCTTTCCTCGAGTAACCTCGACCTTGTCGACGACCTGTTATCTTCTCATGACATGGACCCTTTGAAATCAAGTCATTGTATACTATTGATGACACGTGGCACCCTCTGAAGGCTTTATCCCTGTTGACCTAGTCAATATATAACATGATATTTTTTGCCGTACAATTGCAGTGAAGAAAATTCGAAAAATCAGCTTTCAAATGAGTTATTTTTTTATCGTTACGTGTCCCATAGTCACATGTAATGATTTATTTGTTATAATTGTGTATTTTTTCTTAATTCATCTCAATATGTAATGTGTACTTTACCCCCGACTTCTAATCTTTTTAGTTTCTTCTATAGATATAATGTCAATTTATTCCAACTGCGTATTTTTTTAGGGCAAAATTTATGAAATTTTTTGGCTTGAGCTCCATCATTTTAGCCAAATAAATTTCTAGTTAAACTAATAGAATACTAATGGTATATTTATTATTATTTTTCTTTAGATACA